GTACTGTGCTGAGGAGGGTCTATGCTGTTAAAATGGGCCCACACAGGTTTATGTGGAGGTGAAAGGCATTCGAAGTCCATGGACTCCTTATGCCTGTGCCTAGGCAAAGGAGCTGTGCCTACCCTGAGTTCCTCGCTTAGGGGAACTGGCAGATTATTTTTTCCCGTTTGTTAATTTGTTCCCTCTCCAAGGCCAGGAGAATGGCTCAGGGCACTTGATGGGTCCTACTTCTGGGCCCAGGGGTTGTGGCAATCACTGAAGCTGGCCTGGGACCCAGTGCATAATGGGGAGGGGGCAGGTAAATGGGAGAGAGGTTTTTCCCAAAGGGAGTGTTTTTTGATCTGCACAGTAGGTTAAACGCACATCCTTATCTTTTGCCAATTCAGCACCACTTTTCACTGGTTCTGGAGGCTTTGAGTAGACTCTCTGCTGCTTGGCCTCTCCGTTTGTGGAAAACACACCCCGAGTGCCACTGCTTGCCTCACCGTGCACACCAGCTGATCCGGCCTGAAGAGTGCCGGTTCCTGCCGGGTCAGGTCTGGCAACTCCTCACTGCTTCTGAACTGTGTCTCCCTCCCCCTGCAGCTCAGTCCAATTCCTCAACTTTGCCTTTGATGTTCAGGGCTCCTAGATTGTCATATATAATCAATTCACTTGTTTTTTCAGGTCTTTGTTGTAAGAGGGACCACAGCAAGTGTCTGACTACTCTGCCATCTTGGCCACTCAGGAACAAGTGTTTCTTATAAAAGATTGTAAGACATTTTTCTTAAAAAAAAGATTATACTTTAATTTCAATGGTTTATAATATATTAATATAAAAATTTGTTACTTAAAAATCACACCATGTCTGCAGTTTACTCTAAAATGCTCAAAAATAAGATGCATTAATTGATGGACAGAAGGATGGATAGCTGGATAAATATATGATAAAACAAGTATAGTAAAGTGGTAAAATATGGATGATGGGTTTAGGGATGTTCATTGTAAAATTCTTTCAACTTTGAAAATTTAATAAAATGTTAGAAAATAATCAGATTACATATGACAAAGACAACACCACCATTTATAGGGATTTGTAAGATTAAACACTGCCATGTGTCTTAGTTATCTATTGCTGCTATAACAGAAATACTGCAAGTGGATGGCTTTAACAAACAGAAATTTATTTTATCACAGTTTAGGAGGCTAGAAGTCCAAATTCAGGGTGCTGGCTCTAGGGAAAGTCTTTGTCTCTGTGTTGGCTCTGGGAGAAGGTCCTTGTCTCTTCTGAGCTTCTGCTCCTGGGTAATCTTCATGTGGCTTGGCATCTCTCTTTCCCCATCTCTGCTTCTTTTGCTTGCTTGTTTAATCTCTTTTATATCTCAAAAGAGATTGATTTAAGAACACTCTACACTAATCCTTTCTTATTAACATAACAAAGACAACCCATTCCCAAACTGGGATTATTACTACAGGTATAGAGGTTAGGATTTACAACACTTAATTTGGGGGGACACAATTCAATCCGTAACACCATGCAATGAGTTCTAAGTAAGAAATTGCTGGGAAATGCTGGCCATCCCCTGTAGCTAGGACAATAGATTGAAAGAGTGGTATAGGTTCAAGTGGTCCTTTGCCCCATTTTAGCAAACGTAATCCTTCAGCGTCTCAGAAGCTCCATTGCCACATGTTCCTCCATAAAAGCTTTCCTCAGTCTTGCTGGCTATACTGAATCTAAGTCAGTTGACTATTTCTGAAGCACACACCCACAAAAATACCAAAACTCTACTCCGACTCATAGTGACCCTACAGGACAGAGTAGAACTGCCCCAGTGGGTTTCCAAGGCTGTAAATCTTTACGGAAACAGACTACCACATCTTTCTCCCATGGAGCGGCTGGGTTTGAACCGCCCACCTTTCAATTAGAAGCCAAGGATTTAACCACTGCGCCATCAGGGCTCCTGAAGCACAGGGAACTCATTTTTGGCATGGCTTGCCTTCAGTCTCAATTTATAACCGTTTGCTACCAGGTCTTGGTCATGCACCAAACCAGAGGTTGCAAACTAGTGAGCCAAATCCAGCCCATAGCTGTGTTTTATTTGACCTGCATGCTTGTAAAACATCAGTTGCCCACATTTAAACATTGGGAGATTTGATCGAAAACTTGGATTTCTGGCTCTTTAGCAAGAGATCTGGCAACACAAGGCCTGCATTCCCACATAGCAAGAGGTGGATAGAGTAGAGAAGCAGTTTTCCAGTGCCTGCAGAGCCTGCTTCCTTCAGTTATCACTCAGGTAGTTGAGTTTGCAACTCCTAGACCTGCACTGTCCAATCAAAGTCACACATGACTATTTGAATTTAAATTAATTAAAATTAAATAAAATTTAAAATTTATTCCCAGTCACATTAGACACATTTCAAGTGCTCAATAGCCACATATAGCTAGTGGCTACAGTATTGGACAGTGCCAAATAGCACGTTTCCATCGTTCCAGTTCTGTTGGACAGCATTGGCCTGGACTATCCTCCCAGTTGGAACAGGGAATATTTTCCCTATCCCTTGAGCAACATACATCACTAGCAATGCTGTGGAGCCTCATCACTATTCGGTATTTATGGGAAAATATGCCAAGTTGTAACACTAGACATGGGAATGTAGACGGCTCATGGCCCTAGCTGGTGCTCTGAATCTGAAATCAGCCTCTGTTATATACATTTGAGACTTACTGGGATTGTGTTAATAATTTCAACCTTTAACCTTAACACATCACTGCAATCTAATACTCAGACTCCATTTAAATTTCACCAGCTGTCCCAATAATGTCCTTAATAGTAAAAGGATCCATTTAGAATCACGTTGCATTTTTTAGTCTTCTTCAAACTGGAATAGTTCTTCCGTCTGTGACTTTCATGACCTTGACACAAGTGAAGACTATTTTGTAAAATGTCCCTCAGTTTGAGTTGTCTTACTAGATTCAGTTTATGTATCTTTTATAGGAAACACAGTCATGTTTTCTTCCCATTACAGCCCGTAAGTAGTATAGTTTCGATTTGTCCCATTACCGATGATGTTGGCTAGTTATTAAGATGCTATCTGCCAGGCTTCGCTGTACTCCTCCTTTTGTAATTAACAAGTATCCCCTTCCTCATCAAACTTTCAACTGATTATTTATTCATATTAGTATGGATTCCTGTTTTTTCAAATGAGTTACAATACAGTACTACCACATATTCTGATGCTCAAATTGTCCCAGATCTTGTGGATTCTGAGTACTTTTGCCATGTCTCTATTATTCATTGAGTACTTTCAGGAACAATGAAATTTCCTAGTCTTGTTATCTTCCCAGTCCCAGTGCTGGAATCAGCCCTTTCTCCAAGGAGCTGTGGTTCCTTTTATTGAACAATGAAGCCCTTTCTGTGGACAGAGCTAGGGAATATATGTATTCCCTACATTTATACATACATTGGCCATCTATGTTTAATTACATTGAAATCTGTATTTATTTAGTTCATGTTAATACCTCATTCCAACTCAACACCATAGGTTTCATTCTAGTTTTTTCCCTTTCTGTATTTGTAACTCTTTCCTCTGACAGTGCTAGCTCCTATTATCTTCAATAAATTTACTTACTGGATTAATCCTCCTGAAACTGATCTCCCATTGCCAGCACTGCCCACCCAGGTGCCCTTTCCTTACCCTGCTCAGGTTCCAATACCCTCCCCTCCCAACCCTACACCCTCCTCACTCCTTTTATTAAAATGTTTTTAAAGGAGCCTTGTAGGATTGTTGTTGTTATTGTCAGGTGCTGTCGAGTTGCTTCCGACTCTTAGCGACCCTATGTACAACAAACACTGTCCCATCCTGCACCATCCTTACAATCATTTTGCTTGAGCCCATTGTTGCAGCCACTGTGTCAGTCCATCTTGGTGAAGGTCTTCCTCTTTTTTGCTGACCCTCTACTTTACCAAGCATAATGTCCCTCTCCAGGGACTGGTCCCTCCTGATAACATGTCCAAAGTATGCGAGACATAGTCTCGCCATCCTTGCTTCTAAGGAACATTCTGGCTGTACTTCTTCCAAGATTCATTAACAAACTACAATATGCAGATGACACAACCTTGCTTGCCTAAAGTGAAGAGCACTTGAAGCACTTACCACTGAAGATCAAAGACCACAGCCTTCATTATGGATTACACCTCAACATAAAGAAAAACAGTCTTCATAACTGGACCAATAAGCAACATCACGATAAACAGAGAACTGATTGAAGTTGTCAAGGATTTCATTTTACTTGGATTCACAATCAACACCCACTAAAGCAGCAGTCAGGAAATCAAACAATTGCATTGGGCAAGTCTGCTGCAAAAGACCTCTTTAAAGTGTTAAAAAGCAAAGATGTCACCTTGAAGACTAAGGTGCACCTGACTCAAGCCATAGTATTTTCAATCACCTCATATGCATGCAAAATCTGACAATAAGGAAGACCAAAGAATTATTGATGCCTTTGAATTATGGCGTTGGTGAAAAATATTGAATATACTATGGACCGCCAGAAGAACGAACAAATCTGTCTTGCAAGTACAGCCAGAACGCTCTTTAGAAGCAAGGATGGCAAGACTTTTTCTCATGTACTTTGGACATGTTATCAGGAGGGACCAGTCCCTGGAGAAGGACATCATGCTTGGTAGAGGGTCAGCAAAAGAGAAGACGCTCAAAAAGATGGACTGACACAGTGGCTGCAACAGTGGACTCAAACATAGGCAACAATTGTGAGGATGACACAGGACCAGTCATTGTTTCATTCTGTTGTTCATGGGGTTGCTATGAGTCGGAACCAGCTCAATGGCACCTAATAACATCTTTATATATGTCTGAAAATTTCTGATTAAAAAAAGACACGTTGTGGGGTTGGCAACCAATGTCACAAAACAATATATGTGTATTAACTGTTTGATGAGAAACTAATTTGTTCTGTAAACCTTCATCTAAAACACACACCCACAAAAGACAGGAGGCAGGTCTGCATATCACTGAACTTTATTAAGATGGAGTTAACTGCTAATTACGTAGAAGCTACTTGCCTATGCCAAAATCCATGAGATTCACATGAACTTACAAATTAGAAACAGATGGCATGTTTAAAACCATAAGAAAATATCCTGATGCCCAGCTGATGAAGACTGGTGTGAATGAGTCTGCACATTTATTTCAAGCCGTTAAAGAGTCTGTGGGCCACCTAGATCGGAGAAAGAAAAGGGTATCACCAATTGGCAGCTTTAATGTCGTATTTTTACAAGGTCCTTCATGGCCTGTAACAGCATTGCCTCTTCTCACCAATGCCCTTTTCACATACCCACACTGCACTTGAGACCTTCAGCTACCTGAATATTACCTCCCCTCTACCTGGACCTATCTTTCCCACTTTCATCTAACTTTTATTCTTCCTTTAGAACTTAGTTTACATGTAATTGCCTGCAAATCTTCTCTCAAATAAGCCCCCATCCCACAAACAGGCTTTATCGGTGCTTCCAGACCAAGACAGACTAGGCAGAAAGGCCTGGCAATCTACTTCAAAAAAATCAGTCAATGAAAATCTGTGGATCCTAACGGTTCAGTTCTGTTGTGCATGGGGTTGCCATGAGTCGGGGGCCAATCTGACAACAGCTAATAAGAACAAATGGGTATCATACACTTTATCCATTCAGGAGTCCCTTGGTGACACAAACGGTTAAGTGCTTTGCTACTAACCAAGAGGTTGGCAGTTTGAACCCACCCAGAGGTGTCTCAGAAGAATGGCCCGGTGATCTGCTTCTGAAAGACCTCAGGCATCAAAAACACTATGGAGCACAGTTCTACTCTGAAATACACAGGGTTGCCAGGAGTTGGAATAAACTCGATGCCAAATGGTTTGGTTTTTGGTTTACTTACCAATTCATCAAGTTGATGGACATTTATATTCTTTATACTTCTTGGCTATTATGAATCATGCTGCTATAAAATTTTATGTACAAGTTTCTGTGTGGACATATGTTTTAACTTCTCTTAGGTATATACCTAGGAATAGAACTGCTGGGTTATAATGGTAACTCTATGTTTAATCTTTTGAGGTACTGCCAGATTGTTTCCTATGGTGACTGTACTAATTTACATTCCAATCAGCAGTGTATGGTTCCAATTTCTCCACATCTTTGCCAACCCTTGTTATTGTCTATTTGATTATAGCCATCCTAGTCCTTGAGTGGTACAGATGGGTAATGCACTCAACTGTTAACCAAAAAGCTGGAAATATGAGTCCACCCACAGGCGCCTCAGAAAGAAGACCTGGTGATCTACTTCCAAAAAAAAAAAAAACCCAGCTATTGAAAACCCTATGGAGCACAGTTCTACTCTGATACACGAGGCCTCCATGAGTTGGAATAAACTCAATGGTAAAGAATAAAAAAAAAAGTGGGTGTGAAGTGGTATCTCATTGTGGTTTTCATTTACATTTCCCTGTTGGCTAATGATATCAAGAATCTTTCCATGTGCTTATTGGTCACCCAGTTTTAACATAAACAACCATACCAAACTTTGCCTATGTGCAATTTTATGTAATATATTTTACTGGAATATGTAAGAGTCAACACAAGTTTACATTAGAAACAAAAAACAAACTTTCTGTTAACTACAATGTACAAAACACACTAAAGGATATAAATTATTTTAAGGAACCGTTTACAAAAGATAATGATACCTATCCCCAGTAAAAGTGGTATAGATTAGGTGAGAATATTTCTGTAAAGTGTTCAGCACTGTCCCCGACATATATTGATCCCACAGTAAATGTTTGTTGGTGGAAAGGTTGTCAGTAGCAAGTCTTCTCTGGCCACCATAAGCCTTCCCCCTCCTGACTTCGGTTGACTTACACAGTGGTCCCTTGCATGCAAGAAGTCAAAGAGCTCCTCTGTGCAATCCTCCTCTGTCTGTGACCGGGAGGATACACGCTCATCACAGAGCTCTAGCCGCTCCCGGGCCTTTACACATTTCTCCAGCTGCTCGCATTGCTCTCTCACTGTTGTTAGGGGATCCTGAAGGATAAACACAGAAAAAGAACAAAATCGGCGTTTTAGGAGGAGACTCACCAAACCATATCCTTTGATTAATACAACCACCAAACCAAGGTGCTGCCTCTGAATTACCGTGCAGAAGGCCAGCTGGCAGAGCCACACTGCCGGCAGAAATGGCAGAATGGGGTCTCCCATTCAATTCTGATGCTAAGTAGTAGGGGAAAGTTTCACATTCCTGCCTTCCAAGGTTGCCAGTATGCACTGAAAGCCTCAGTCCTATCTGAAAAACAAGGTTGGTAAAGGAATCCTGGCCAAACTTGTAGTAAATCTATAGGAGGCCTTACTTTTTAATGCAGCGTTTTGTGATATGTCATGTCTGTGAAATTTCAATTCCCCTCGTCTGAGAACCAGGTCTATACACCCAATCTAGAAAGACAATGTTAACATGAAGAGGGAACACCTAAGAAGGGTTTCTCCCAAAGTTCTTTGTTAAACCACAAATAGCAGATGATTGAGTGGCAGGTCCTCAGGATGATGCTCTGCTCCCGGAACCATGACTGGAGAAGGGAGAAGTCTCAAACCCAAAAGACTCAGCTTCCCAAGCCCACGTTCCCAAATACTCCAATGCACAGAAAGGAAGTACTGAAGTCTTATTCTACCCACATCCTATCCAAGGTATCAAGTAAAGACTCCTCAAAATTCCTTTAAAGTTTCATGCAGCTCAAACTTCCTGCTTTTACTGAGATGGTTTCAAACCTGAGACAGTTCTTACCACTAGTTCCTCCTCCTCCTCCTCCTCCTCTTCCTCCTACAAAAAGAAAACAAAATTAATGTCAGTGGCAATTTTATGACATATATACTCCCCATCACCTTGATGATTAATTACTGAGGATAGACACACCATCTCACTTTCCTTAGTAACAACTCCACACTTTATAAAAGCACCTTCCTATCTGTTATGATTTGATTAATCACAACAGCCCCTTAAAGACTCTTAAAAAACTAATCTCAGTTTAGAGATAACAAATACTAATTAGACATTTTCTAATATAGATTCAAGCTGTCAGGTGTTCATGCGGGAACTATATAACTCATTTTGATAAACAACTAAATTTAGTCCTTACATTCCAAAGCAAGTCAGGCCGAAGAGGAAAAGACATTTTTTTACACTCTGAACTTAAATTTAGAATATGCAAATGGCCAAACCTAAACTCTTTTTTTTAGCCAGAGCTTAACTAAAGATGGTTCTGGTCACTGTTTTTTGGCTTGCTGAACTCCCAGACTCTCAGTAAACAAAGTGTCAATATATGTGCACCAAAAGTCTACACAACTCCACCCATGTCTTAGGAACATCAGGCCCTACCCATTTATTACCTTTTTTTTTGGGGGGGGGGGGATATACATAGCAAAACATACATCAATTCAATAATTT